TGCTTCTTCTAATCATGTAGTTATTAAAAATGTAAAAAAATGATTAAAAAAATAATAATAAAGTGGGTATGTATACATGCTGGATTAATTTTTGTTTTTTTGTTTTTTGAGACAGGGTCTCACTGTGTAGCCTTGGCTGACCTTGAATTTACAAAGATCTGCCTGCCTCTGCCTCCAGAGTGCTGGGATTAAAGGTGTGTGCCACTGTACCTGGCTGGACTTGAACTCTCCATTGTTCTGCTTCAGCTTGGGATCCAGTGCTGAGATTCCAGGCCAGCAGCACCCACTAGGTCCCACCTACGTGTGCATACATATCAAGATGAACTGGACATGCATCATTTTACATATGAATTTTGAAGCATGCGACTCCATTAACTGTACAAACTCAGTAAAAAGGAGTGCAGAGTGGTACTCGTGGATAAAAGAGCAGTCTAGGAGGCAGGCAGGCACCAGGCCTCTCTCTGCTCTTGGTGCTGAAACCTTAACTGAAGCCTGATTAGGATGAAACACTGTGGAGTTCACTCTGGGCTTCTCCTTGGAAGATTGCTCTGAGTGATAGAATATTTTTATTTAAAAAAAAAAGCAAAACAAATAACAATTACAAAGCAGGTGCCTTTGTCATTGAGAACCACTTCTGGGGGTCCCCACTGCCCACTCTGCAGCCTGTTGGAGTTTACTTTCAGGGGGGAGCAGGGGTCCCTCAACTCACCCCAGGGTCTCATCGTCCAGGGTGGTAGGGAAGACGGAAGGTCTGTATCTGGACTGTGATAGCCACGCCTCTTGCAGTGGTACGTCTCTTGGGACACAGGAAAGGGATCCAGGCAGGAAAACTCCCAAACCCTCTGAACACTTCCAGGTTGTACTAAGAGGGTGTCAGTGCAGGAATGAGCCCAGGGGCTTGCTGTGTGCTACCGTACAAGCTATTGTGGAAACAGAGGCCCAGAGAAGTCAAATGACTTCCCTGCGGTCCCACAGCGGGTGAGGGCCGCTTACTTTCCCAGCTGTATCTCCCTAACATCACCCTTGGCAGCTGTGCTGGATGCTACAAACTGGATTTCTCAGAAGTCAAAGAACGAAGTCTGTAACTGGAGATCACAGACACAGCGTTGGGGGAGGGTTGTGCCTTGCAACTCCAGGGAGGCCTTTGGCCTTCCTCACAGTCCTTACCTGGCCTTTGCTGTTAAAAAGCTCAGGCTCCACCTCCCTCCTTCCCAGTCCTGGCTCTGTTACCTCAGGAGCACCCTTTGCCTCTGGGTCCCAACTTCAATGATGGGGAACGGCAGTGTTCTGTGGTGGCCAACCCGGCCTAGGCAGAGCAGTCCAGGCTGCAGTGATCAGCAGAGGAAAAGTCTTAGCACGTTCACCAGTGGGAACATGAGCAGAGCACCGACCAGCGAGCCCAGCTGCACCGCTGCCCCACACCACAAGAGGGCGCTGCGGCTTCGGTCGCGTAGGATCACACCCAACATCACCTTGACATAGCTGAAACAGGCTGTGAACAGCACCCAGGAGATCACCTGTGAAGACATGGCCACCAGGGGAGAGATGTGGAGGGAAGGGGGCTTGAGGGGGTGCCCTAGGGCAAAGAGTGCTCTGGCTGAGGGGAACCCATGGGATGACTCCTGACTGCAAGGAGACCCTATGGGGGTGACTCTGAAGGGCTAAGGGGGCCGCAGGAGCTAGTTTTCCAGAGTAAAGGAAAACCTGGGGTCTTTCCCCCCACGATCAAGTCAGGGCATATGAGAGGTGGCATTTTTGGGGAATCTCACCTCTGTAAGCCCCCACCTTTATGAGAACCACTGAGACGATTAGGGCAAATAGTGCTCTGGCTGAGGCGAACCCATGGGATGACTCCTGACGGCAAGGAGACCCTATGCGGGTGACTCTGAAGGGCTAAGGGGGCCGCAGGAGCTAGTTTTCCAGAGTAAAGGAAAACCTGGGGTCTTTCCCCCCACGATCAAGTCAGGGCATATGAGAGGTGGCATTTTTGGGGAATCTCACCTCTGTAAGCCCCCACCTTTATGAGAACCACTGAGACGATTATCTTTGGGGTCCCTCCAGCCTTGAGAAGGGTGGGAGGGGATACTTACAATGAGGACCTCCCCACCCCAGTGGCCCTGCAGGACAGGACAGGGGCTCATGGCAGCCATGGCCATGTTGTAGGCTCCAAAGCTGGTCCCCAACAGCGTGAGCACTCCCAGGAACACAAGTGACCTGTGAAAGAGCAGGGGAGGGCAGGGAAGGAGGTGAGATGTCTGCCCTTTGTCTCTTTCACCCAGACCTTGAGGAGTGGCCAGCACCTCCAGGGTGAGAGGTTAGACCTTTATGGGGGAAATTCCATTCTACCTGGCTCAAGAGGGCAATGAGATTCCTGAGAGTCAAGGCACCCAGAGTGTTCACACCAGATCACAGTTCCACCACCAAAACCCTGAGACTGGTCCTGACCTGTCCTCGCCTACATGATGGGAGGTTGGTGGGCAGTACTGCCTTGAAGGAGTGGAGCTCAGCGCTGGGCAGCCTCCTAGCTGATGTGGTGCGGGCTATCATTTCCTCCCTGATGCCAGCTCCTTGCCAGGAAGCTGCCAGAAGGGGCTTTGATCTCTGCAGGGTGTGCTGTGCTTCCTCCAGGACCCTCCTTTGTTCTCAGGGAAGAGTTGTCTGTCTGGAAGCCCAGCATTGAGCTCTGTAGGCGACGTTCCATCAGAGCCTGGCTGGCAACTGAGGACACTGCTTTCCTAGTAGGTCCTCCTCTGGGGTCCCACTGCCCATTGCCTCCAGGCCAGGACATGCTTCCCCCATCCCCAGACAGCCAGGCCTGCCCTGACATCCTGTGTGACTGCAGGCAGGTATGTATGGACAACGGGCACTCTTTCAGTCCCAGGGCCTGCTGGTCCCACAGGTGTTGGGTGCTGTGTTTAACATCTTGAATTTTCAGATCCCAAAGTCTGCGACCTCTGACCCTGTGTCCCCCAAACTTCTCCCTGACCCTGAGTTTTGGAGCCCCAGGGAAACCCAGCGTACTGACTCAATCTCCTGCCCTTCTTGGTCCCAAGTGTTTCTATGCTTGTGAATACATTTAAGTTGCTAGCTGGGAAGGGGGATGGTAGGAAGGTCAGAGACATCAAGTGTCAGGATTACAGGTGGGGAGCTAGACAGATGGCTCAGAGGTGAATAGT